TTTTTTAATATGAAAAGGTTCTATATTGGGTGTGAAACACACACACACATAAAACTAAACAATGGCCACAATCTTTGTGTTTTCAGGCAAGTATAGGATATTATGGCTCTTATATTTCCCCAAAGCCTCATGCACTTATAGGTGTGGCTTTTCAGACCTGGATGGACCTAGGGGGTGTGATACTAGGAGTGTGTGGCACTAAATTAGTCCATTGATTGGTTTAGCACAGTTTTGGGTGTTTATAATGGAAAAGTCTAGCCTGGTTGTAGGCAGCACCACCCAAAAGGCTTGCAGCCTAGATGGCATAAAAGGGAAAGGGAGGCTTGCTGTTTGCTGCTTGCTGCTTTGCTGCCTTCTGCCTGCTCTGCTATGAACTGTTTCTTCTCAGTGATACCCCTCTGCCGTGCTATGATGTCTCGGAGCCAGCTGACTATGCACTGTAAGCTCTACAAAATATGAGCCAAAATAACTTTCCTCCTTTAACTTGTGGGTGTTTGGTATTTTGTCTCAGCAACATGAGAAGTAACTAAGACATGGAAATAGGTAAATATTACAATAACTTGTGCAACATTGTTACCCTGCATTAACCACACTTATGCATGGTCTGCCCTTCACTGGGTTTTGAATTTCTATAGGGCAGAAACAATTTCTTATTCATATGCTTTTGTTTTTTGTTTTTGTTTTTGTTTTACTTTCTACCTAGCATTGTGACTGGCACTGAAAAAAATATTTAACAGATGTTTGTTGAACTGAACTAAATAAATATACATCTGATGATCATTAGAAGACAAAGATTCATAATGCATTGCAGGGTTAATGAGAAAGAAGCAATTACTATTGCCCAGGGTGGGTGGGGGCAAGGGGACTCCTCAATGTCACACACCAATAAACATGAAGAGAGTCCATATCACTAAGTCAGGGAAAAACCCGTCAGAACACACACAGAGCAAGGCATCATTTTCACCAAAAATACTGGTTAAAAAATAAATACAGTCATACCCTATGCTGATGAAGGCATAGGGATATTTGCAATCTATCATTGCTCATGAGTATATTGTTTCAATCTTCTTAGTCTCAGATATCTATTTACAGTGCATGATTAATGCATATAGTTATGATACAATGATATACTACTTAGAACTCTACAATACTTGACAGAGATAAAATTACCACAACATAAATAAAAGTTACAAATACATTTATTGAAGCATGACATATAATTTCAAATATTTGGGAAATTCACTAAAGAGCCATAGAAGAGATAAAGAAGAAGTAAGTTAGCATAGTAAGGAAAACAGAGTTAGGAGACAGCTTTGACACTCAACTGGCTGAATGACCATTAACCATGTTCCTTAATGTTTCCAGGTCTAACTTCTTTTATCTGGAAACCAGGAATACTAATAAGGCTACTTTATTTGGTTGGTACAAGAATAAAAGCACCAAGAACTCTGTTGGTATCCAGGAAGCGCTACATAAGGAAATTAAGCATGGATTTGTCTAATGCAACATGCAGCATTCACAGTGTGAGCAGATACTCATGACTTGTTGATCAGTGACGTGAAATCGATTGTTGCAGTTCAGTGAATAGTACACTCCTATTTCCTCAAACAAAAACATCATCCTAACATAAGTATATAGCTGTTGGTATTTTGTACTGGGTCCTAAAGATACAGACAGCATTATCCATAATTGTCAACACCACCTATCTCGGGAAAGCTGGATCTGGGCAGGAAGACAGAAGCTATTGACATGGTGTTTGTTCATCTTTTCACTTGTTCACTCATTAAAACGAGTACTCGTCAATTTTGTGATTTTAAAAAATAGTAAGTCTTAGATAATAATAAGTATTCAATAATAGAAAGTTGGAATAAAATAAAAGTCCAGCAACCAAAAGCAGCACCATGAGATACAAACACAAGATGGGACTGTGAGTTACAAAGGTAAAAAATAACCAGAGGGCAAAGGGCTGCAATTCGAAATGCTGCCTGACCTTGCAGGAGCTTGGCTACCTCCAAGCATCCTCTGGAAGGTGCTGAACATTCATAAGCACAGTTGCGGAAAACACCATGGTGCTTGAGTAACTTGAAGAACTCTCATACAAGCAAACTGTCACACATATCATTTTTAAGGTGTGTAGTTACATTCAATAACCTTGTGTTTGTAGCTTAGTGAAAACTGGATTTTGTAGGGAGACATCAGCAGAAGCCATCAATCTGCTCCAAACCACCCCTTGCTCCCTCTTCCTCCTGTGAAGTTGGAAGGGCAAAGAGCAAGGGCTGGGGAGCCTCAAAACCCCTGCCTTTAGTCTGGACCCCAGAGCTCCCAGCAGCTCAGACCACCGTGCTGCCCCCTTCACCTCCAGCACAGGTTCCACCCAGGCGACCAGGAAACCTCTGAGAAAATAGGAAACAGGACTGGCTACGAGCGCAGAATCACACAGAAGCCTCAACTCATCTCTCTAACCACGTGTTCCTTTGAGTCTTGAAAGCACACTTTGCTGTGTGACAAGCACATGGGTGGAAGCTTGCTGTGTCTTCCCTGGGTCTGTGTACCGAAGTGGGATTGGACAAGTCAGCCTGCAGGGAGCCTGTAAGCCTCAGCACTGCAATGAGGGTCCCATTAAGGGTTTGTACTTTTTTTTTTTTTTTTTTTGCTCCTTTGGAATTGCCTAGGGCTCTCTCACCAGTTAGGGCTCCTCAGCCTTCAAGGGCCGATTACTCCAGCAGAAAAGGGGAAGGGATGAATACATTTCTCCTCTGAGAAACTCCATCTAGATTTTGACATTTTATTTATCTCCACCTTTAAGCTTATCTTGCTTCAAAATGGTAAAACCACCTGGCTCCACAAATCTCAACAGCTTAATCCACTGTAAGGTGGGGCTGTCTTTAAGGTGTAGGTCATAGCTGTGTGTCAGAGCATCCCTTTCCTCCCCTCTAGACTCCTAAGGGAACAACAGCATGCATTCAACAACTGGCTTCAGGATTGTGGGCGATCAATGACAAGACCAAGGGAGAGGGAACCTCGTTCATTTGGCACTGTGGCCCGTCCTTCCCTCATTCGTGGCTCCTCCAAAACTAGGAAGCTTAAAGCCCTAGGAGAAAGTCAAGGTCAAGCACCTCCTGGCCTCTCTCCTTCCTCTCACACCCCACAGGCACTTGTGACTCTCCCGATTTTGACTACTCAGCTGTAAACTTTTAAAGGACAAGGGCTCCACTGAATGCTGTATGCATCTGATTTTTGTACAAGAAGTCATTTTTCTGCTGCCAAATATTTTTTTAGCAGCAGGAAAAATGCCGATTCAAATGTCACAGCACTGAAAACCCTACTCTGTGCCATAGTACAGGGTACTATAATATGGTATAATTTATATAGAAAATATAGACTCATTGAATATAATCTTGCATATAATATAATCTAGCTGGGAGATGATAAAGCGCTTACTGTATGGAGATGTTAACTTGTCTGTAAGTATGGAGGCTATGCATTAACTGTGTGACCTTGGGCACTCCACAAAAATGAAGTAAGAAAATGCATTAATGTTTGGCACTAAGCACCATGCCTGTCACACAGTGAATATTCAATAATTTTTTCATTGCTGTTGCCGCTGTGACCGTTCTCACCAACAGTGCCGCTATTTTTCTCACAGCAACAAGGTGCTGGGTGAAGGACTCACAGCACACCTGAGAAAAGAACAAGTTCACCCAAGCAAAGTAAGGAAGCACCAGGTATCTTACATCACAGCACCCACGACTGTGAGACACCCTACTCACCTGGGGATTATCTCCTTCAGGGACTGGGCAGCTCAGTAAAACTACACAGGCAGGTCACGTGCCATGCAGGTTTCTCTCGCCTGAGCTGGCTGCAGCCTGTCCCTTATGCTCCCCCCCCACATGTCCTTCCTGTGTGTCCTTCCCTCCGAGCGGGCAGAGGAGGCTGTGCCTCCTAGAGGCCTCTGCCCTTGAGAGAAGAATGTATGCCTTTTAGATCTGTCATATGCCAACTACACTGCAACAGCAGATGCACCGTAGGAAAAAAACAACTTTTATTCAAATACGCTTACTTGCACTGGAAAAGCCCATCAAGGAAGCTCAAACTTACTGAGTCAGGAGCATTCTGATACACACTTACTGCCTTTAAGCAATACAGCAGGTGCTAAGCACTTAATGCATTTCCACTTTTATCCAGGCTCCTACCAGACTGCCCACACGTATGTAACTCTCAGTTATTCCTAGGGTTGTCTCCACCCTGTCCCTGGGCTGGGCACTGTCAGAAGACATGGGATTAAGCAAGCACAGCCAGCCCTCTCCTGGCTGGGCTCCAGACTGCTTTGGATGTGGCCACCTGACAGGCTGGCAAGAAAAGCCAATCAGGAGTAAGAAAAACACAGCAGAGTTTGAGAAACAGTAGAAAGACAATATGAGTTTTCTGAGGAGACTTCCCCTGCTGGTTCTAAATCTTGACAGCCTTATTCACCAAGCCACTCAGTCCCCAAAGGGTAAGCACCCATTCATCTGAACGACTGTTCTTCACACTCTCTGTAGGTACAAGGAAATATTGTATGAATCACAGCCACAAGGGTGTGCACATAAATGTGTGCACCTGCTCACCTGCATGTGGACAGGGAGCTGGGAGACCTCGGAAAGGAAACTGAATGCTGCACTGCTAGAGAGCCCCCCATGTCCAGAACCAAGGGCTGTGTAGATCACTTCTACAAAGGGCCTTTCAGTTTCCCTTCTGCTCTAAAAGCTGCCACATCTGTGAGGACCATGGAAACTGAAATGCACATGCACAGCCTACTGAAGATCACACCACAGAACTCTGCCTCACCACAAGAGGGCATCTTTACAGAAGGCGACCCTCTGGCCCACCGGGAGACAAAGCCCAACCCACTAGGAGAGAAACACAGAATGGGCAGAGGAAGGACCAGTGCATATAACCAGAACACCCCCTGGCATCCTAAATAAACAGCACCATCGCCACCCGCTCAGTTCACCACGTACCTCCAGAGTGAGCTCTCGGTGATGCTCCCCAGGTTATAGTCGTACAGCTTTGTCAGAATAAGAATCACCTGGAGACAAAAGAAGAGGTCACAGTTAGTGTCAAACAGTTGGATCTCTTAGAACTGAAGTGTCCCAAGGGAGGCTCAGGCTTCCTCTAAGGGGTGCTTAGGGTAACCGAATGAATTCAGGAAGCACTTGCCACACTGACTGGGGAAGGGCTGGCAGGCCCTTCACGGAGAGCTGGCCTTGCCATTCAGACTGACCATCAACCAGCAGCACAGGTACCCACTGCCACACCACATATCTCTCACTCTGTGGGGTGTAACACTTTGGGAAGGCTGGCAGAGCTGTCACACACCCACGAGGGAGCCACTGCACAGGTGGTGGGCCCTTCTGAGCCCTCCTCCTGGCCAGGTTACAGGAGTCCCTCCGATGCTTAGTGTTTCCACCTATCAACAAGCACAGTGGGTAATGCTACTTCCTTTCCAGAAAGGGTTGCCATGAGGGGTAAAATTAGGCAATAAAGTAATCACAAATCGCATCTAGGTTATCATGTGGATCTACCCTCTCTCCTTCTTCGTGAGCATAGCTTTGCCTGTTTTTTTATGGCTTCCCAGTTCCTAGGAAAGTCAGTGGATAGAAGCCATTAAGCACCACAGACTGGCTAAACAGTGGCATTTTTTAAGTGGGGATGTCCAGGTTTCAAGGGATCCTGAAGCTTATGGAATTTGGGCGATGGGGAAGCATCCATAAGAGAAAGAATATAAAGTTAAAATTAGGAACAAGTCCCAGGAAGGGAATATGAGGGAATCCATAAGTTCCCAGCAGATCCTTTCTTGATATTTAACCTAGCACTACTTCCAACCTATCGCAGAAGCAATCAGATGATTTAGTTAATTCTTTCCAATGTCAAGAAACATGTATTAAGAGTCCAGAATTTTTCCTGATGTCAGTAGATGTAATAGTCATGGCTGGTTTGGCGGGGTTATGGATGTGTCTGGATAATGGAGTTACTGCAGAAGGAAGACATACTCTGGGTGTGAGTGGCACCAGCCAATCGGCTCGGAGCCTGGAAGGAATCAACAGGGAAAGAAGTTAACTCCCACTCCTCTTCTTCAGAGGAACTCCAGTTTTCACCATCACCTTTGGGCTTCTGTCTCCAGCCTTCCAGGACAGAGCCTTCAGCTTCCTGACAGGGACTAGCACAGACTGCAGTGAAAGAGAGCTCTAGGACTTTGACTTGTAACTGATCCCTCCAGCTGTGGAGCACACACATGGCCCTTGTGCACTCTTCCATAGCTGACTCTACAGGAGTGCATGTGTGTGCATCCTCCAGTGAACCCTAACATAAAGAACAGAGTAAGGAGGAGCCCGAGCCCCTGCTAGGACTGAATGAGCTCATTAAAGGTAAGGAAGTTGGTGGACACAGCAGGTCTCCTCCTTCCCAGTCTACTTGAAAGCCAAGCTCATTGGAGACCTGGAAGAGGTAGCATCTTTGATGCCTGGAGCACAGACCAAGATCCACCTGTGCTTGAAGTACAAGAGCCCCGGGACACTCAGGCACATCCCACAGTGGTGCAGCCTGCTCCTGGCCACTGGTTTTCCACACTTGCTCGCTCTACACAAGGCAAGAACAGCTTTTCCATCCAAGTTCATATTTTTCTCCTGCTACTCCTAACCTAGAACTTTTGGCCTACTCTTTCCAACTCAACAGAAAAATGTTGACATTGATTTCCTATGAAGGCCAAGGGATCCTTCGCGCCACTGCAAACAGCACACAACATTCTAACCTTGACTTGGGAGGCAGCCAGCTGCCCAGGACAGCCGCCTGCTCCCACCTTCCCCTCTTTGGCCAGCCTATGATGGACGGAGACAAGTGCATCATAGAGCAGACTCTTAATGATTTTTTCTCAGCAAGCAGACTGGAACTCGGGAGTTCAGATTTGCTGGAGTTTAAGGAAATAGAGAACACAGGAACATGAAGACGAACTGAGATCCCCAAAGGTCTGTCCTCACAGCCACCCTCCACTGAGCAGCAGCAGTACAGGCTCGCTCACCGATCCCTCCGAACTCGCTTGCCTCCCCAGCAGACTCTGCGAGCAGGAGGCGGGCACCTGTGGGCACATCAGCTGCATGCCTGCAGTGGGGCGTATGCTGCACAGGTCCGCGTGCCAGGAAAGGCTCCCTGAGCGCTAAACTTCAATCGCCCGCCCCCCGGGGAGGGAATGCGGATCAGCCGCAGCAGGGCGGCTATTTGTCGGAAGTCACAGAACGGTGTGGCTGCTCCACAGCAGCGCAGTTTTGCAGAATAAGCTTAGAAATCCCCCACCAAGAAAACGGATGTGCAGGCACAAAGCATTTCTAGATAGTTGCTCTCCTGATACAAGACAGCAGTCACTTAAGTAATGAAATTCCGCTGCTCACGGGCCCTGCCTCCCTGTCATCTGCCCAGGGAATACCAAGACCCAGATGGAGCCCTTAACCCAGCGCGCACCGACAGTGTTTCAGCAATTCCCGGGCAGGCGGGAGGAAGGCAGGACGCCCTTCATTGCTTCTGCTTGCCGAGTTAGTAAAACTGAAATGCCAGCGATACACTCAGGCAGTTTATCGATACTGCAGCAGCAGGAGCATCCTCTATGACATTTCAAAGCATATCTGCATGAATCAATCTATTCAGTCTTCCTGTTTTTTAGAATCAGAGTGAGAACGAAGGCAGAACTGCTAACCTGTAGCCACATTTCCAATGATCTGAGGTCTCTCTTCCCTTCTTTTTCCCCTTCTCGCCTGTATGTACAGTATAGTGTTGTCTACCATACTCCGGGACAGGTACACATGTGCCGCGATGCGTTAGTCCTGTTTCATTGTTGGTTTCAGTTTTTCCCTTCTGATTAATTAGCAAAACTATTTAACAGCACCTGTTAAGGGACACGGTACAAATCCCTACTCTTTCATGAGAAAAAAAATTTTAAAATGCAATTGCCTACCTATTCTGGTTCTATTATCTGTAACACTGTGTACTTTTCAAACTTTAACAAAGAAAAGTCAACAGGCCTGTTAAACGTAGTAACATGTGACATGTACTGGAATAATATGTTAATTATTTTCAGTCATTTTATAACATTTTTTGTGTTAAGACTTTATGAGTTGAAATATAGACCATTTAAGTGTAGATTCACTAAAAGCAAGGCTGCTTCATAGACGCAAACAGAATGGAGTCCTACTGCTTCCTATTTATTGCTGCATCTTGTTTTTATGGTAGCATTAAACCACCCTTGACTCAAAACAGTAAGTGGTGACCAACGGCTTTTTCAGCCTCCTCTCCAAATCTGAGGATATTATCTTTAAAATAGCTACAATCCAAATATCTACGGCTGGACGACTCCTACCTACATTGTACCAGGACACGGCAAGCAGTCCCTTCCGGCTTTCCCCAGTATGTATTCAAGTACCCCCACCCTGTCTCAGAGCTGCTCTCACACAAGGAACCTGCCCTCATCTCCTGCTGAAAGAAACTTCACTTTGTTCACAGTCATGGAATGCCAGTGCCCCCCAGCATCCTTCACCCGTTAGGATTGGTGGGTGTCAGGTTCTGTGAGGCAGACGCAGAGTCTCCAAGGAGCAGACAAAGGGCTTCCTCTGCAGTTCTGAGCCCAGATTTCAAAACTCAGATTCTCAAACCAGTATTGCTTTGGTGAAGCCCTTCTCAGCCAGTGCTGAAAAATTCAATCAACTCAGGCCTTTATCCCCTCTGTGTGGGGGCGAGAAACCACTACAAAGGACTCAGTGAAAAGAAAATGCCAATTCATTCCCCCCTGCTTCCAGTGGCAACCTCCTGCTGCCCTGGATTACAAAACAAAATAATTCATGGAGATAAACAGAGAAGCTTAGTATGTGGAAGATGAAACAGAATGTTCTACTGTAAATCAGCAAAAGCCAGTGAAAAATGCTGCGGCATCAGAATAGCGCATCAGAATAGCACAGCGCGCCTTCTTCCCAGGTATGTGTTAAAATAAACTAGTGCAGCAGCAGCATACGTTAATAGACAGGCAGTCTTGATGGTGCCTGTTATTATTCATGTAACAACTTTTACCGTGACAGCATTTTTTATTATGACTATAAAATACAATTCAGAAACGAAGCCCCAAACATTTAAGGAACTCCTAGAGCACCTTCTTCAAAACTTGAATCTAGAGGATCCTTTTGAAAACGTCTACATTAAGTATAGACTGTTGGGAACCAAAATATGTTTTATACTTTCTCAGTAGCAGCTCCAGAAATTTCCATTTCTTGCCTGAGTAAGAGACAAATTTTTCCTCCAATCTTTTGCTAAATTAAAGAATTAACTCCACATTAAGGAGTGTGGAAGGGGAGATGTCTACAAGAAAGGATCAAACTACAATAGCAAATCTTTACTTTCAAAATTACGGTATAAGACACACTGCCAAAAATACCTCTAAAAATATTCCCCGCTCACTTTCCCAAAGTCAAAATGACTATGAAAAGAAAACATTCCAAAGCCACCCAGGTCATCCAGGCTGTCACGACTGTCAGGATAGCACAACCAAAGGCTCTCTTGCACCGATGAGGCCTCCAGACCCATTTCATAAAGCGGCAAGAACAGTGGGTTAAGTGTGTTCAAAAGGGCGTAAGTACTTTCAGGGGGATTAAAGGCAAAGTGTCTTTTATCATAATAAGTTTTTTAAAAGTTAAGTATTTAGCATAGTTTTCAATCATACTGAGGTAGGATAGAAGAAATAAAAAATGAATAGAAAGCAGACAAGGAAATCATATCTAAAAAATTCTGTTTCGAAAAACCGCAACTTCTGAGGCCCAGTCAGCATTACCCAAGCTGATTCACAGCAGCATTCCCTTGGTAAAATTCAGGGTCCTCACCTTCCAGACCCATCACGCCACAAATTCCTCAGAAATAATGAAAGCCCATAAAGTGTCTTACTTGAGAAAGTAAAGAGCAGGAACTTGATCCTAAGATAAAGGAATAGATTCAGAGAAGCCAATGAATGTTTAAATTATCTGTGTAAAAAGTAACGACAGAAACCCGGGCCCATAC